GCCCCGGCCCCGGCCCCGGCCCCGGCCCCGCCTCCAGGCACGGGGCGGGGCGCCAGCCCCGGGGGAGGAAGAGGATGGAGGGTGATGGAGATGGGGAGGAGATGGAGAGGGGGGAGCCCTGGGTCTGACGGTGGGTCTGCCTCACCAGGGCATGGCCGGGCTGGGACATCCCCGAGGTGACAAGCAGCTGATCTGGGAGGACAAACCTGTTGCTTGACAGTTTTTCCTGCTCCTCTGTGACAGCCCAGCCCGATCTCTGCAGCCCTGCTCAGCCCTGCGCTCTTGCAGGAGGGGAAGGTGGCACGGATGTGGGCTCGGGTGAAGTTAAGGCGCAGAGTCCTATATTGTTCTTGGGAAGAACGATGTTTCCCCAGGAATTCCCCCAGCCTCACTTTTCCTGTGGGCAGTGCTCTGAATTGCTGCCCCTGCCCTTTAACCCCACCCTGCCTCCCCAAAGCAGGACTGTGTGTCCCCTCCTGCCCCCCCCGATATGCTCCAGAGTCTCCCATCTCCCCAAACCATGACCGCAACCCTCTCACTCTTGAAGGTCCCTTTCTCTCTGCCTCCAGCCACCATCCCTCCACCCCCCATCTCATATCCCCAGCAGGGATGCCCAAGGACAGTCTGCTGCCCAGGTGGCTGCAGAGCCAGGGACACTCACAGGAACAGGTACACGGGCACCAGAGAGTGTGAGGGAGGGCCTGCCACCTCCCTTTCAGTGTCCATGGCTCAGCATCACCATTGGGTTTATATCCCACACAGGTCCTTGCCCCCTGCAACAGGGCTGAGCTCAGCAACTTGTCCCTTGTGGCTCTTGTGCTGTCCAAGATGATGCTTCGTTTTCCCCTTCCCTGGGCAAGAAAGGGGGTGTCCTCTCCCTCTGTGGAGAACCCCAGAGAGTCCCACAGGCACAGCAGTGAACTGGCATCTCCAGCTCCTTCCCCACCAGCACCACCTCCCACCGTTGGGCATGGCTGTACATCTTCCCTGTGCCACCTTCACTCCAGCCCCCCGGCTCCCAACAAGGCCAACGAGGCCAGGAGAGCAGTCTGGGGCCACGACACAGAACAAGTGAGCATAGCTGAGCAAGTCCTGCACAGAGAAGGCTTTCCCTGGGTAGGGGGATGTCAGAGACCCTGAAAGGCATGAAAGACCCCCCCAGGGCAAAGACCACTGCAGATGGGAAATTTTGGGGTCAGCACTGCAGATTGCTGCGTGCTGTTGCTGGTTCAGTCAGATACAGGGTGGATGACCATGAAGGTCCCCCTCACACTACCTCTAGGCCACTTTACAGAGCAGCCGGGGAGTACAGAGAGGCAACCAGCCCAGGAGGGGGATGACACCCGCACCCCCACCCCAGCTTCCCTGTGGCAGCGAGCGTGGGGACAGCAGGATGGTAGTGCTCTACATAAGCTGCTGAAATCAGAGCGCCTCCTCAGGGAGCTGCAAGCTGTGGGCATCCAATCTCAGCATACCAAAAAAATAAAAAGTAATAAGATGGGGACCTGGGGGAAATGGGGGGGGACATGGCTCCATGTGGCAAAGGGCCCCCCCATGCACATGTCAGATCATGGGAACTTAGAAAAGGGGGTCAGGGAAGGGATCAGGGTCCCTCTGTTCCATACTCCCACCATGTGTCCGGACACTGACACTTTCCAGGCACACAGGGAAGACCTCCCTGCAGGGCTAAAACTGTGTGCTCATGCACACACATTCACCCCACCCCAGCCTCTCCCTTTCTCTTGTAAGGAAGAAACCACTGAATCCACTTCTCCTCCCTCCTCCCATGTATTTCTCCCAGTCTCCAAGACTCCTAGCCTTCCCCTGAAGCAAGAACACCTCCAGAGCGTCTCCCATATCCCTTTGGAGGGTCCCTGCAGGTTTTATATTTAGATGCCTTTGAATAGCAATGCTTTCTTACACTGATTTGGGGCAGGGCGGGGGGAGTCATTCACCTTCAGGCCTTACATTACTGCAGGGATGTGAAGCTGGTATGACTGATCAGCTGCCTTTGTGCTAAATACTGGGATTGCTCCCATGGCTAGCCACTGCTCCTGAAGCAGAAATTAACCTCTCCGAGTGCCTCAGCCACACGCCGGCAGCCCCAGGCAGCTGTAAAGGCAGCTTCCATGGCTCCCAGGCATCCTGCAGCAGCACCTCCTAGCCCTGGCCTAGAAGATCAGCTGGGAGGGAAAGGGGGACATAGGCAGAGGATCCTTAGCGATGTCCCCAAAAGACATACAAATACGATTCAAAGCTGCCTTGTACAGAGCATGGCGCCGGGCAGCAGAACAGGTCAGACCCAACCATGTACAAACCAGAATATGCCCAACGCTAGAGGTGAGCACAGCCTGCTTCTTGCGCTGTGAGACACCTTTTTCTGCTGGGGTGCCAGGGATGGGGGGGCCATTCAGTGCCCAGTCCTGTCCCGGGGCGAGCTGGCTGACCCATCCTCGGGGGGGGCGGTGCATGGGACAGAGACCCCAGACTGCTGCAGCTCTGCCAGGCCAGGGGGGCAGCGTGGAAAGGGCTGGTGACTTCCCAGGGTGACACACATGCTGCCTTGCCGATCCCCTCCCTGGAGGGAGAAATCTTGCTCTCAGTGACTCATTACAGGGGCTTGCACAAGGCTGTTACAGCTGGTAATTGGTGCCCAGGGCTGCTAATTGCATTCTGCCTGTTACCTAACCCGTGACTCATTCCTCCGAGCAGGCAGCCACCCCCCAAGAGGTACAAAAAAGGTGGGCTGGGGGGTGTGCAGGGCAGTGGGAGGGTCATTAATGTTTGCCTTGGAGCCCTCTGCCCTGCTTCTCACCCGTGTCCAGAACGATTTGAAGCTGGATTTTGAAAGCCTCAGGGGAGACAAGACGGATAAAGAGAGGACCTGTAAGAAGCCTGGGAGCAGGCGAGGCAGTGCCGCCTGCTGCTTGGAGAGCTGGGTACTGCCAATCTGCCTCCCAGCAACCTTCCTCTGCGTCCCTTTCCCTCCTGACAACACCGATGGCCTAGGGAGGTGCTGAGGGACGTCTGTTTATTTGGGGGTGGGGGTTAGCAGGCACCAAGCTGGGAGCGCAGCCTGACTACCCAAAATGTGGGGGCTTGCTCTTAACCACCCTCAGCCTAGGCCATAAGGCTGGGGATGGTTCCCAGTGCCAGCAGGAGCAGGAGGAGTTGTCAAGCCCCGAATCAGAGTGCCTCACGTGGAATATTTTCCCTGGGTACTCAAGCGCTACTTTTTTCCCTACAAAGATGTGGGTTCTAATCTCCAAATCCAGCCCGGGGTGGATGGGAGCTTGCTTTGGGACTTGTCTTCTCATCAGCTCAACAAGAGTCCCACTTTGTTTGCCTGCAGGGCAAGCACCCTCCCAGGGCGCTGGCTGTGCCTGGATGCTCGGGCTGCATCCCCTGGAGTGGATGTCATTTGGGAGCTTTCATCTGGAGCCATGTGTTACACCAGTTCCCCCATCCCGGGAGCAGAGCTGCATTGCTCCAGGGCAGAGCTGGGTCTTTGCTCTACATTTGAGTGACTGCAGGTTAAAATCTTTTCATTTTCTTTCCTCCCCCCATTCACTCTCGTCCTCATAAAAGACACAGGCAACTGGTTTAGAGCCTGAAATAACACCACACAGGGGACCCGTGAAGATAACAAGTTAATCTTTGCTCAGAGCTTCGAATGTGCATGGCACTAGCAGTGCCCTAATAGCAGGGGCAAGGAAGATACAGAGAGGACTTGACTCTCTGGGGCTGGTTGCCCATCTTCTCCCATTGATCCCAGGAGCAGTGGGCTCAGCCGTCTGCCAGGGCTCGTGCCCCACGAAGCCTCCCAGAGCCACAGGTTCCATTTTCCTCTTGCATGCCCCAGGAAAGATGATCTACCACCACAACCACCACCTCTCCATGGCGTGGGTATCCTGGACCCCCTTTCCCACAGCAGGGCTAATAACAGCAGTTGGTTAGGAGTCAGGACCGTGCCAGGGTGGGTGAGCACGGCTGCTGATACCCAAACCCTCCATCTTCCCTCTGCCAGAATCTGAACCCGCACTCGGCCCCAT